AACAAAAATGATGAGAAAGCAGAGAGTGTTCTGTTTGTTAGTTCATAATGAGAAAATGAAAGATGAAAGACTGATGGGGGCACATGCAAGTTTCAGATGTTTTTGTTTATAAATTAACTTTTATCTGCACCAATTGATTTCTGCTTCACCATTTTAGAAATGGGCTCCACTTTTTACAGAATACACAGCTCTCGTTATACACATTTCTTTTGTACTTTTTGTTTACATCTTATTTGGCATAGTGATAGATATTTTGATCAACAAATATAAAAAGGTCTAATCCCAGGTCTCAAGAGGGTTTTTTTAATAAAAGGCAAACACATAAACTCCGATTATCACATAAGATTCATAATACAACAATGATGTATTATTTTCATTACACAATAGAATGATCATACAACACATGCAATCAGTATTCTCTTATCTCTCTCCCAATCAGTGTTCTCTTATCTCTCCCCTCCCCCCCAAAAGTGTTAAAAGAATGAAGCAGTAAGATATGTTAAGTAGATTGTACACGTGAGGCTTCTAATTTACACACAAGCTCTACAAAACTATAACACAAACTCAAATCATTGTCTTCTTCTTCTTTAAAAGGCCGAATATTCAACGTGGCGGTTGAGTCAAAAAGGGATTACCAGATGTCCTGAAGTTTAAAGAATCAGAGTGTATTTGTATTAGCCAATGCAAGATGAGACATAACTTAGATTTGTATGGTGAAATTCGCTCTTTGGAAATTTTGTAAGCTTACCTTAGGTCCAATCCTGGTTTCTGAAGAAGATTGCTAGGAACTTGGCCAGTTAGGTTATTGTTTTGTAAGAACCTGATTATCAACAAAACATACATTACTAAGTCAGAAATCCATGCTCATGACGACAATGCAATGATGAATACAAGACATGTAAGCTCAAGAACCGAGTATCAGAACTATGAAATTGAGTATATTAGAGGAGACATGGTCACATTTTTGCTGGTCTAGTGCAAAGTGTTACTGTTTACTATTCCCTTTGAATCTTAAAAGGTAAAGGTAAAAGACAGAAGGGCTGATGCCAAAACAAAAAAGTGGTAACTGTTGTATTACTGAATGAATATTAGGTATAATGTCTTTTCCATTCACAAGGCAAGAATCTTGTGCAGAAGAAGTAGACAATATGCAACTTATTCTAGAGAAGCATTCAAACCAATAATCAAAAGGACCGTATATGGTAATATTAGAATGGAAACTTACAGCTCTCGCAAGTGTGGTACTCCACCGAAAAATGGAGGAATATTTCCACTGAAACGGTTGTCTTCCAAGTGCCTTGTACATAGGAAAAGGGATTAGATTAGCTTATGAGTCTCTGTTCCATTGCGGCCTATTGTCTTTGTACAAGTAGTGAAATAAAGAAATTGTCTGCTTACACTGATTCAAGCAATTTGAGCGAACTGAAGTCAGGTATGCTTCCCGACAGAGAATTGTTTCCCAGCCAACTATTCAAAACACACGAAAATCAGTAATTATTTTCGACGTTCAGGCATATAACTGACTGTTCACTAGTCAAGGTACTTACATGGAGGACAATGCTGTTAATTTGGAAACTTCAGGTGCTAGCGAACCCGAAAGGGCCATATTAGTTAAGTTCCTGGAGAAAAAACAATGGATTAGAAAAGTGTCAGTAAATCTCAAACTGATGCATCGAAAATCACAGACGACACAATTTGACGAAGTTACAACTCACAAAGCGACCACGCGAATTCGGGGGCCTTCAGAGCAGGTAACTCCAGACCACGAGTAATTTTTAGGCATACAAGGATCACCATTCCAATCAACTGGAGCGTTCTCGAAACTGCTTTTAATTGCATTCAGAGCAGTTACTGCAGAAGTAACAAAACAATTCAACATGTTACACAAATGGTATCAGCACTTAATCACTTATTAAAAAAAATCAATCATTCATAGTTGTTTTAAGTCATGTACCATCTCGAACTAGAGTTTTCCCTCCAAGAGGTATCAACTGAAACATTTCACCACCATTGATAAGAGGAGGAAGGTTTGAACCACTTCTAGGACTTAGAGTTAACGTTGTGAGACCTTCAAGAGGCCACTTGCTCGCAAAGATAACCGCACCAGCTGGAGTAACAGACAACTCTCTATAATACGTTATACCATTGATAGATACATCGAAAACTCTCGATCCATCCCCCAACGAATCAGAATCATGGGCAAAGTATAACGCAATATAATAAATTGCCTTTGTTAAAGGCATTGGAGGCCATGTAAACTCCAAAGGCTGAACCGATGTAGCTCTTAGATCAGTATTGAATATCCTCGAAGGTGGAAGGTTCCAGAAACCAGAAACCTCTAGCTTCCTATTGTTCGGTACTGTCGAGTTTAGCGAATACGGCTCCCAAAACCTATCGAACTGATCATCCGGAAACCTGCAAAGCACCATCATATAATGAAATTGCTTCATGATGTACAATTTCAATGGCATTTGATTTAACACACATCAGAACTAACCTGATGATAGGTCCACTGTATCCAAAAGCATGCCTAGCAACAAGACTAAGCCCGAAACTGTTGAAATCTGTGGAATTGTAAAGAGTACCATCGAGCCTAACGAGTTCCAAGGCTGAGATAAACGGATCAGAACTTGTATAAGAATTGGAAGCAATACATACGCTAATTGATTTCCCCTGAGCAAGAAAAACCCCTTCGTAATAAGAAGCGAGACCATCGGCGTAATCGGCGGTTGTATTGACGACACTCCAGAAACTCCCGTCGACAATCTGATCGAATACAGGCGGCAGAGTATCTTTTCCGTTAACTCCGCCGTAGTAATAAGTCGTCCTGATTATGTATTTCCATCCACGAGAAACGCTCATCACGTAACAAAACTTCCGATCGAGGTTAAGAGGGAAGGATCTGACGGTGAATAAGATTTCGTCGACAACTTGATCGGAGATTTTCTTCGGTGTTCCGCTAGAGACGAAATTATCGTCGGATTGCCATTGTCGACCCCCGATTACGGAGGAGGAAGAAGCGCCGCAATCGATCAGAATCGCTAAAATTGGAAAGGAGAGGAGAAATCAGAAAATCGAAATTACAGATGCGAATCACGCGTGGAAGAAGGAAATACCTGA